CATAGAAATAGATGTAGCTGGTTCTTTGGCCATAATTCAGAATTTTCTGCTCTAATAGTAGTAGCTCTGCTTCGCCGGCCGGGGCGGGAGGGGGGGGCAGAGGCAAGACCAGTGCCAAGGATGTCGCTGGGCTACACAATAGCACTTAGACTTCTATAGCGCTTCACAGTGCTTTTACAGCCCTCTCTAAGCAGTTTACAGAGTCAGGCCTCTTGCCCCCAACAATCTGGGTCCTCATTTTACCCACCTCGGAAGGATGGAAGGCTGAGTCAACCTTGAGCCAGTCAGGATCGAGCTGCTGGCAGTGGGCAGAGTTAGCCTACAATGCTGCATTGTAACCACTGGGAAGGAAGAAGGAAATCTCTCTAAGCAGTTTGCAGAGTCAGCCTCTTGCCCCCAACAATCTGGGTCCTCGTTTTACCCGCCTCGGAAGGATGGAAGGAAGGCTGAGTCGACCTTGAGCCTGGTGGGATTTGAACTGCCAAATTACAGTCAGCCGGCAGTCAGCAGAAGGAGCCTGCAGTACTGCACTCTGACCACTGTGCCACCGTGGCTCTATAATGACTTACAATCGTTGGTTTAATGACTGTTTGAACGTACGACAGCACTGAAAAAAGGGACGGGCAACTGGTCCTCATGTTTATGGCCATCCCAGTGTCCCCATAGTCACATGAGTCTTTGCAATTTGCAATACTTGAGGGGCTGCCGCAGAGAGGAAGGGGGGGGTGTCAAGCTATTTTCCAAGGTACCCGAAGGCCAGACAAGGAATAATGGATGGAAACTGAACAAGGAGAGATTCAACCTGGAAATAAGGAGGAATTTTCTGACGGTGAGAACAATCAACCGAAGGAGCAGAAGTTGCCTTTGGAAGTTGTGGGAGCTTCATCCCTGGAAGCTTTCAAGATGAGACTGAACTGCCATCTGCCAGAAATGGTGTAGGGTCTCTGCTTGGACTAGATGACCTCCAAGGACCCTTCCAACTCTGTTGTTATTATTATTCTATTCTAATTCTGAGGGACAGTTCAAAAATGGTTTTATAAGAGAATAACGGAAAGAGACATGGTGGCTCAGTGGCTAAGATGCTGAGCTTGTTGATCGGCAGTTCAGTGGTTCGAATCCCTAGTGCCGTGTAATGCAGTGAGCTCCTACTTGTCCCAGCTTCTGCCAACCTAGCAGTTCGAAAGCAGGTAAAAAAGGCAAGTAGAAAAAGAGGGACCACCTTTGGTGGGAAGGGAAGAGCGTTCCGTGCGCCTTTGGCGTTGAGTCATGCCGGCCACGTGACCACGGAGACGACTTCGGACAGCGCTGGCTCTTCGGCTTTGAAACGGAGATGAGCAGCGCCCCCTAGAGTCGGGAACAATTAGCACGTATGTGCGAGGGGAACTTTGACCTTTAACAGAGTTAGAAAGGACCTTGGAGGTCTTATCCAACCCCCTGCTTAAGCAGGAGACCCTCTTCCATTCTGGGCAAAGGGTTGTCCCAATTTCTTGAAAAGCTCCAATGATGAAGCACCCACAACTTCTGGAGGCCAAGCTTGCGTTGATGAATCGTTCTCACCGTTAGGAATTTTCTCCTTAGTTCTAGGTTGGTTTAAAAAGTGACTTACGACTGGTTTTTCACGCTTACGACCGTTGGCAGCATCCCCACAGTCACGTGATCAAAATTGATTGACCTACAAGGTCCCTTTTCAACGCTTTGTTATTCTGTACCTATCTGACCAACTTACATTTATGACGGGTGCAGAATCCGAGGGTCAACCTTCCCAGGCAACGTCCATCGAGCATAACCAAGGGGGGAAAACCAGGTTTGCTTAACCAGAGCCTGATTCGCTTAACGACCCTGCACCCCCCCCAAAAAAGGTCATAAAAATCAGCCGTGACTCGCTTAATAACCGCCTTCCATTAGAATGGAAATTCTAATCCCGATTTTGTGGTCCGCAAATCGAGGACGCCCTGCAGAAGAGAGCTTTCTGGTCCATTTCTCCATTTTTTGCTTGGGTAGCAGGATGGATGGGTCATTTTCCCCCTTCCCTCCCTCCCTCCCTCCCCCCACTTTGATCTGGCCATCCGCTGAGTTTCCTTCCTTGCTCTAATTTTGCACATCAGATGTTTTTATGGAGTCGATGCATTTTCGCTGCCGGTAAGATAGGTTTATTTTTGTAAGGGAAAAAAAAAAAAGGCTTTATTTCCTGTCTGCACTTAAGAGCAAATGGACAGGAAGGCAAGCAACAGAAGGGCCTCCGAGTCCAAGAAACTCTTAAAACTCTAAAAAAAAAAAAAGTCTTCAGAAGACAAACCTCTGAAACAGCCAGTGAAGACTTGGCTGGTAGAATCTGATACAAATTAAACAGAGTTGGAAGGGACCTCGGAGGCCATCTAGTCCAACCCCGCGCCCAAGCTGGAGACCCAACACCATTTCTGACAAATGGCACTCCAGTCTCTTCTTGAAACCTTCCAGTGATGAAGCTCCCACAACGTCCAGCAGACAGGTGTCCGACCTTGGTAACTTGAAGACCCGTGGACACCTAGAATTCTGGGAGTTGAAGTCCACAGGTCTTCAAAATGGCCAATGTTGGACAACCCTATGGCTGTGTCCACCCCCCCCCCCATTTAAAGGCAGACTGTGTGCTGTAGGGGGTTAAGATTGTTGGACTTGGGACCAGGAAGACTCGGCTGAAGTCCACTGTGAACCGTGGAGCTCGTTGACGATTGAAGACCAAGTCAACCTTCTAACTCAACGTACTTGAAAGGGTTGTCTTGAGGGATGACATTGGAAGAGGGAAGGCCAGTTTGTCTCCAGCATTGGAGGAACCTTCAGATTGTGATCAATCCGAAGGAAATGGAATTCCGTGTGCTTCCAAAGAGAATAGAGATAATTGGAGCCTGGTCATTGGTACCTCAAGCAAGACCTTGAGAAGGTCCACTACTCCACAAGAAGGTTGTGTCCTTAAGAATCCATGTTGTGCTTGGATTGCCTTTGTTAATGGTGCGTAATCACCGGAGGCTCAGAATAGAACAGAACAGAACAGAGTTGGAAGGGACCTTGGAGGTCTTCTAGTCCAACCCCCTGCTTAGGCAGGAAACCCTCCACCACTTCAGACAAATGGTTATCCAACCTCTTCTTAAAAACTTCCAGTGTTGGAGCATTCGCAACTTCTGGAGGCAAGTTGTTCCACTGCTTAATTGTTCTCACTGTCAGGAAATTTCTCCTTAGTTCTAAGTTGCTTCTCTCCTTGATTAGTTTCCATCCATCACTTCTTGTCCTGCCCTCAGGTGCTTTGGAGAAGAGCTTGACTCCCTCTTCTTTGGGGCAGCCCCTGAGATATTGGAAGACTGCTCTCATGTCTCCCCTGGTCCTTCTCTTCATCAAACTAGACATACCCAGTTCCTGCAACAGTTCTTCGTATGTTTTAGCCTCCAGTCCCCTAATCCTCTTTGTTGCTCTTCTCTGCACTCTTTCTAGAGTCTCCACATCTTTTTTTACATCGTGGCGACCAAAACTGGATGCAGGATTCCAAGTGTGGCCTTACCAAGGCCTTATCAAGTGGTATTAGCACTTCACTCCTTGGCTGTCCTCCTGGGGAATGTCTGGATGCTATCTTGCTACTGTTCAGCTCTTCTCCGTGGGGTTTAGCTCAGAAGAGTGGGGCCACTGCATTCCTTTTCTTTCTTTCTCTTTTCTCCACGGGGTTCCTGCCATCTTGTCATTGTCTCTTTTAGCTGGCTGTCTCTGCCCCTGGAGGGGGTTTTTTTTTTGTGCTCATTGGAGCAGAGACAGAAATGCTGAGGATGCAAATTCCGAACTCTGAGGAATTTCAAGAGCGGGCCTTGCCAAGCATGTGAGCAGTTGGTGTTGGTCTGTGTGAATTTTGAGGAAGCAGCAGCAACTGCCGATGAAGCATTTTTCTCTCTCTTAGATTCCTCCCTGAGGGGTGAGCAGGGTCTTTGACAAGGTTGTCCAACTGTGGCAACTTTTAAGGCTTGGGGACTTCCAACTCTCAGAATTCCCCAAACCAGCCATGGGATTTTTTTTTCAATTCCATCATCCTTATTCCTCTTCTACAGGATCAAGTCTGCATTAGCTTAAAGCAGTGTTTCTCAGCTTTGTAAGATACGTGGACTTCCAGAATTCGGGGTTCGTTAGATGTGTTAGCTTTGAGAAGAGTCTAAACCAGGGGTGTCCCAACTGTGGTAACTTTTATAGATTTATGGGCTTTAACTCCCAGAATTCCCCAGCCATCCATGGGCTTTAACTCCCAGAATGTTGTGGCCCACCACGGCCAACAGAGCTGGAAGCAGAGTCGGACAGTGAGGAGGAGGGAAGGAACATGGACCAGTCCTGGAGGCTGGGGAAAGCTCGGACAAGGACTCTGCGTCGGAGGCAGAGAGGGAGTTAAACAGCAGTGAGGTAAAGGAACAGCTGGAGCCTGTTCCCACATGCACACATGCGCAGAGCTGCCAGAAAACAAGAACAACTCCGAAAGCAGGGTCGACTTGGGAGTAAAGCCACACCTTGGAGGTGATTGGCCCCTCCCACAGGAAACAAAAGAGGAGCGAATGGGGAGGGGGCTTTTGCGGGAAACAATTGACTCTGAGAGACTCTGTGCCAAGTTTCGCCTTGTACTGCGTTTGGAAACTAGTTACGTGGCAGCTTGCCAAGCAAGATAAGGTCTGTGTTGATAAATATTCCTCTGAAAGACTGTTTGGACAGGCCTTGCTGACTGTGAATGAAAGGAATTCACAGTCTCGTGTAAATAAAAGAGGTTTTGCCGGGACCAAGACTCTGCTCCCTGCTTTTTAAAGGAGCCTAGGTCAGAACATCGAATTCCCCAGACATCCGTGATAACTTTTAAGACTCAAGGGCTTCAACTACCAGAATTCCCCAGCCTTGCTAAGCGAGGACTACCTGTATAGACAGATAAGACTTTGGATACCTATTTAGGGGCAGGCCTACAAGGGCTGGCCTTGACTCCCTCCGCCATCTTGTGTCTCTTCTTCTAGGGATCGATCTCTCGGCCAACCAAGATGAAGAAGGTGACCAAGAAACCTTCCAGATGGAAATCAACAAAGAGACCAAGAAATGCACCTTCCGGACTTGTACTGGGAAATACTGGACTCTGACCTCCAACGGTGGGGTGCAGTCCACTGCCTCGACTAAGTGAGTTCCAGTTACCCCAAGGTGGATAAGTGTGTGAATGGGATATGAGTTTGAGTTCTTGCTTCGCACTAAGCCCTTAAATGGCTTGTGTGAACATGCTGTAGGAAATCCACCGTTCTAGTTTATTCAACCAAGGAGTGGCTCAGTGGCTAAGACGCTGAGCTTGTCGATCGAAACGCTACCTGCTCCCAAGAGAGAACAATTCGAACACAGTAAACTTAAACAGCACTTGTGCAAAAACAAAAAAAATAAAATAGCATCCGAGTCCCAAATAGCTCACTTTTGACTCTTCTGGAAAGTTTCTGAATTTGATGTCCAACGGCGTCAAACTCCAAACACATCCAGAATACGTAAACAATCTTGTTTCAAATTCGAAATGTTTTGTGTACATCTTCAGTGCTGGGCCACAAACATTTATTTGCTCAGTGCTTAAGAAAATAAATAAATCTGGGGGAAAAAAATGACTGCGGGTTGGAAAAGACTCAACTCATTTGGCCATTAAGCTTGTAGAGATGGGGGGGGCTCATGCTCTCCAGAGGCCGTAGCAGAAGAAAACTCATTTTTTCAGAAGCGTGTGGAGAAATCGGGAGAAAGCTACCACCATCAATCCTCAAGGGGGGGGGTCCAAACCACTCTTGGTTGCATTGTAGTCCTGACAAGGGGTGGGGAATGTTTGATCTTCTTCTGGTCCTCCTTGTCTCCCTGATGCTACGGCAAGGAAAGGTCCTTCTCAATCTTCCTTTGCTCCCGCAGGAATGCCAACTGTTACTTCGACATTGAGTGGTGTGACCGGCGTATCACTCTGAAAGCTGCCAACGGCAAATACGTCACTGCCAAGAAGAACGGGCAACTTGCTGCTACGGTCGAAACGGCCAGTAAGTGCTTTCTTTGCCTCTGCCTCTCAGGAGAAGCCAGGGATGCGTTGGCTCAGTGGGTAAGCTTGTCGATTGAAAGGTCGGCAGTTCAGCGGTTCGAATCCCTAGTGCCGCGTAACGGGGTGAGCTCCCGTTACTTGTCCCAGCTTCTGCCAACCTAGCAGTTCGAAAGCAGGTAAAAAATGCAAGTAGAAAAATAGGCACCACCTTTGGTGGGAAGATAACAGCGTTCCGTGCGCCTTTGGCGTTGAATCATGCCGGCCACATGACCACGGAGACGTCTTCGGACAGCGCTGGCTCTCCGGCTTTGAAACGGAGATGAGCAGCGCCCCCTAGAGTCGGGAACGACTAGCACATATGTGTGAGGGGAACCTTTACCTTTACCGGAGAAGCCAGGGGTGTGTCATAGTGGGAGCATCTGCTGCTTAAAACGTGGCCTTCCTGAGTTGGGGTGATTGGAAGTAGCCTGGATATGGGAAGCAAGTTTGTTTTCTGGTAAATAGTGTTTTGTTCCTTCCGTTCTCCGATGGTAGGTGAGACAGAGCAGTTCCTCATGAAGCTGATTAACCGGCCCATCATTGTTTTCCGCGGAGAACATGGCTTCATCGGCTGTCGGAAGATGACGGGCACCTTAGATTGCAATCGATCTTCTTACGATATCTTTCAGCTGGAGTTTAACGACGGTGCCTACAATATCAAAGGTAAGGGCTCTACCTGGCCACAAGGTAGACTCTCCTTAGCGCAGGCATCCTCACACTATGGCCTGCGGGCTGGATACGGCCCGCCAATGCAAAGTATCCGGCCCGCGGAGTGGTGGGATTAAGCCCCGCCCCTCACCGTGGGTTTATCGTCCAGCTGAGGGCCATCTGAGGGCAAAGCAGCTCTGGACTTGTAAAGTACTGCTTTTAAATTAAAAGTCTTTGAAAACAATTTAAACGGGAGCGTCGGCAGGAGAAAGGCAAAAAAAATTGGACTGTTAAATTGGCCACGCCCACCCAGTCACATGACCACCTAGCCACACCCACCCAGCCAGTCAGGGGCCCCCCCACCTGTTTAAAAAATTTGAGGACCCCTGCCTTAGGGCATCAGTCCGCCAACCAGTTGCCATACTGAAGTCTGTTGTCAACTCCCAGAATTCTTAGCTGCACACCGGTTGGGAGGATTATGGACACCGAAGTCAAGAGAAGGCAGGTGAGGTCTTCCACATTCCCGTCCTGGAGGAGTTGAGATTTGAAAGTAGGAAGTTCGTGTTAAGGCGGGTTGAACTATCCTTGACACCGACGCTCAAATAATTTGGGGAAGAGTCTCTTGGAGACTGTAGGAGAAGATCAGGGAGGACTGGGGGGGCGGAGTTAAGCAAGCCATCAGCCTAGAATCCTTACATTGCCACCAATGATCCGAGTCCAAACCCCTCTTGAATTCCCTGGACCCTTATTTGGTGCCATTTTTGTTGAACTTTAGTTGACCAGGTCCTTGTGGGTACGAGTTCTGACCCAGCTCTCCAAACACAACAAACAAACCCTCTGCAGTTGAAACAATGCTTCCTTTAATTAGGAGCGTCCGCAGCCCCAGCAAAAAGTTTCTCTCTCAACGCAGGCGAACAAGTCTGTCCGGCAGGAAGATGAATAGTTGTCTGCCACATCTATTCATCTCCGCCCCCCTGCCTTTTATCCCCAGAGCTAGGGTGGGGCTTTGCTAGCAGCATTGGCTCTTCTGTCCCAAGGACCGGCCCATAGATTTCCACTGCTCTCCTCTCCTCTGCCTTCTGTGCATTCGTGCGGTCAGGCACTGGACCCAGCTGTTCCTCTTCTTCCTCATCAGCCACCTCCAGACCTGGGGGCTGTTGACTCTCCATCTGAGGGCTGACGGACGGCTCAGGCTCCGCCTCTGTCTCTATCTCTTGAGAGCTCCATTCCCTCTTCCCCCTCGGAGCTCCCAGGTTGCCTCGATGGTGACCCTGATTTCCACGCCGTCGCCTCCTCCTCTGATTTGGCTGCTGGAGGGGCCAGTGGCTGGACAGGCCACAACAGTAGGCTTGATACATATACATGGTCCTTTGTGCCTGACATCTCGTGGCCATGCTGGAGGTGCCTCCATGAATCCGCTCACCTCTTCCCTCTTCCTCTTCCCCTTTTCAGATTCCACTGGGAAATACTGGATGGTGGGAAATGAGGCGTCCATCACCAGCAGCAGCGATTCTCCCGTGGACTTCTTCTTCGAGTTCTGCGACTTTAACAAGGTGGCCATCAAAGTCAACAACAAATACCTGAAGGGCGACCACGCTGGGGTCCTCAAAGCCTCTGCCGACGCCATTGAGCCCTCCACCCTCTGGGAGTATTAAACGCACTTTAGTCTCCTTCCCTTCGCTCTACGCTTCCTCTCTTCCCCCACTTCCTTTTTTTTCCGGTTGCCAACTTCCTGCAGGAATTTCCTTTTGGTATGTTCTGGTGTGTCTTTCTCAAAAAGAGAGGGATTCTATCTTTTCAGACTGGCCTGCTGCCTTTGGTCTGCCATATTGTTGTCGTTGTTGTTTTAAGTTGGCTTTTTTCCCCGCTTTGTTATGTGAGTTCATTTAAAACTGGAAGAAAAAAAAAGAAATTGTTTGTCTGCAGAAAATGTCCTGCTCTCACCTTACGGACTTTTTGTAGGGGGTGGGGGTGGGAAGGAAGAAAGGAAAAATTGGGTGGGGGATGAACGAATCTCTCCTTTGGCCTCTGCTGAATTGAAATCAATTCAATTCTGGAATTGAAAAGGAATCTATATCTCAATCATTGGAATCGGAAAACGTGGCCCACTCTACCCCAAATGTTAGGTCTCCTCTTGAGAAGGAGGGGGTCTTCAGGAAGAGCCAGTATTGAGCTCAACAAGAGCCCAATTTGGAAAACCTTGAGGGTTTTGTGTCTTCGAGGGCCCCACCTTCTGTCCCAGTGTTAGGTGGGCGTCCGTAACTCTTGTTCCAACTGGGCCTTCTGGTTTGAGTTGGGATATCTTCTGTAGTAGGACCCAAGAGTTCTCTTTCTTGGCTTTTTAAGTTACTCATCCCCCATTCTCTGGCGAAGATAGAGAAGAAGTAGCTGAGCATGTCTGGTCATTCCATGGGATGAGAGAAGGAGGGGTAGGGGAAAGAGTCAAGATGTGAATCTAAAGTGAGCTACCAAAGCAGGACAGAAGGTCCGTCTTTACGCTCACTGACCAAACGAGCTGCTTTTTCTGAATGGAATCGTAACTGGACCCCCTCTGCGCGTTCATCTCATCCTCAAAAGGTCTGAGCTAATTCCTTGTTTCTTCCACCCCTTGTGTGCCGCCCCCAAAAATCATCTCTAAACATCTCCCCAAAACATGCCGAGAAGCCATTGATGTTGCCTTATGATTCCTTTCCCTTTCTCCCCGAAAGGTGCAACCGTTGTCGAATTTCCCTTTTTCTCCTCTTTTATTACCTTTTCATTAATTTGGGGACTCTTTAGCATTTCATTAGAGCAGGTCAGGACTACCTTGAAGCTGTTGCTTACGGATTGGATGCATCAGATAAAAAGGCGTTGAGTTGCACATTAATATGTCCGTGCGTCTTTTCCCCCCACCTCCCTTTTGCCTTGGCTGGGGAGAACCATCTCGTCATCTCCTTATTTCTCTTCAATGTTCATCCATGATGGTGGGTGCGGTTTCCCCTGCCAGCAGCTGATAATAACTTGACTTGGAGAGAGCTCTCCAGTTGAACAGGAACTTAAGTCATGATACAGATCAGTCCGCAGGAGAACTGAGACCTGTGGATCTTCCTTAGTTTTCCTCCTAAGTACTTCCCACTGAAATGTCTGTAGATTTGAGGGGGAGGTATGGAAGACGAGATGGAGGGGAAGGTTAGAGGAGAAGGAGGTCAAGCAGAGGTAAATCCATGCTGCGTGTCCACAAACTCTTCAGGGGAATCCTCCATCGCCAATTGTCTGTGTTCCTTAAACTAGCATCATTTGCACAATACACGTCCCACTACATCGTTCTACCTGTTGATCTGAACTGGAATTTGTTGTCTTCTCATCTCGCTGCCCCTTCCCCCAAAGTTGTAAACTCTTGAGTCAATGTGTCTGCATCTTAGCAGCTTCCCAAAATCTCATCTCATCTCTTCTCCCGACAAGCTATGTGAGGGTCTCCTCAAGAATGGGACCCAAGCATCATCTCGCGACCCACCAGGCCCGCTTCCGTGATCCTGCACTTTGCCCCGCAGAACCCCAAAACATGGAAAGTTGAACAGGAAATGGTCTTCTCTTGACTCTTAGATCAACCTGCCCTCCGAGCCAACCTAACTTTAGCCCCTCTGCTAGATTCGTTGTTCGGCATAGCCAACTTTAGTCTTTGCAAACTCTTGCTTAACTCTTTGGAAGTCCAAAAGAGTCTGTGCACGCATATTTTTGTGTGGATTTATTTGAGTATTTTTTGGTGGTTGTCCGATGTGATGCCTTCTTGGGGTTTTAATCTCTGCTTCCTTAGGCCAAGCAGACCCCAGATTTACCCCAAAGTCCGCGGGGGACTTCGCTTGAAATGGTGCTCTCTCTTTCTACCCAGATCCATGAATTTGTAAAGATCCAGATTTGTATTTCCGAAACGCGTTAACTTTACAGGGAGCCAGGGTTGGCCAAATTTTCAAAGGGGTTGGTGGGTTTTTGATTAACCGAGGGAGGAAAAAAAAAAAAAGAAAAAAAAAGCAGGGACACGTCCTATGCCTTAAAAAAACGCATCCACACTCTGCCATCCATAAGGTGACTTCAATAGGAATTGGTGCTCTTAAACTTTATAGCAATGGAAATTATTTTTGCCTTATGAGTAAAAAGAGGGTTTGAGCTGGAGTTCGCCTGGGAATCTTAACTGGACTGCGCTGAAGTTCTGGAAACAATATATATATATATAAAAATTCTTTAGCTTGTGAAAGAAACCACAATTTGGGGAGCAGAGATGACTACCCAGTTGGCCTCCAGAGTTTGTCCTGTGTCTCTTGCCCACCTGGTGGGACTTGGATCATGTACACCTCACTGCCTTTCCCCCCCACCCCTCTGTAACAGTTTTTAAGTCAAGAATCCTTGCCTTCTATTTCCTTGACTATTGTGGCTATGAAAAGCATCTCATATCCTGATATGTTTAGTTAATTTCTCTCCCCCCCCCTTTTCAAAACCACTTTTTGTAAGTGCCATTTGTATAAGAAGCATCAAATGGAGAAGAGAATTGACAAAATAAAAACCTGCATACAGATATAAAACAAACGTGTGTGCGTGTTTCGTTATTTTAGAGGCTACTTTTTGGTTCCTTTGGGAAATTTGAGCCATGGATTTTTTTTTTTTTTAAAAAATCTTCTCTCTTGGTGTTCTCTTAAACCCTGATTCCCCCACAGAAGGTAGCTTAGCTTAGCCAAGGTACACAAAAGACAAATGATGTGATTTGCGGGACCCAAAAGAGGGGAGTTTATGCCGTGCATTTCCTAGAGGTAATTCTCTACCCTGTTTGCCTTGCAAAGTGAATTTTTCCTCTTCCCCGTTAATTTGTAGACAATTCACCGATAAATGTTCATTTGTGGAAGGGACCGTCCTCTTTCTACAATTGTAAGCCACAAAAGTGTTGGTGGATTAACACCAGGCAATAAACAATACCCCAATCAAGGAAATCCCAACTCAACTCCTTAAGCAGCAGCCTAATGAAGGAACCACTAAGAATGCTCCCACAAACACTAACGAGCAAAGCCACTTGAATTTCAACAAAGAGCAAACCCCACTCCCCTCTAGCACTGATCATGTTACCTAGTTGGGTAGTGAAATGTCCACAAGGAAACAACCAAGCTCAGAGAGCATAAAGGCTCCACGGTGATTCTCCTCCATCCCACAAACCCCACTCCAGGGGTGAAATCCAGCAGGTTCTGACAGGTTCTGGAGAACCGGTAGTGGAAATTTTGAGTAATTCGGAGAACCGGGAAATACCACCTCTGGCTGGCCCCCGAGTGGGGAGGGAATGGGGATTTTGCAGTATCCTTTCCCTGGAGTGGGGGAGGGAATGGGGATTTTGCAGTATCCTTTCCCTGGAGTGGGGAGGGAATGGGGATTTTGCAGTATCCTTTCCCTGGAGTGGGGAGGGAATGGGGATTTTGCAGTATCCTTCCCCTGGAGTGGGGAGGGAATGGGGATTTTGCAGTATCCTTTCCCTGGAGTGGGGAGGGAATGGAGATTTTGCAGTATCCTTTCCCTGGAGTGGGGAGGGAATGGAGATTTGCAGTATCCTTTCCCTGGAGTGGGGAGGGAATGGGGATTTTGCAGTGGGGAGGGAATGGGGATTTTGCAGTATCCTTCCCGTTATGCCCAAGCCACACCACGCCCACCAAGCCACGCGCACAGAACCAATAATAAAAAAAATTGGATTTCACCACTACCCCACTCCCTTCTATGATGATGTTTCATAGTTGGGTAGTGAAACGTCTCCAAGAAAACAACCAAGCTCAAGAGAGCACCAAGAAACCCCACATTATGGTTTAGCAAGGATATTTGAAACCAGGCTGAGATTAGCAAGCAATTGTGGGTTTCCAAGGAGTTTTTCTTTTTTTTAAAAAAAATCTGCTTTGTTGGGCAGGAAACCTTTCTTGCAATTTGCATCTGTCCTTCAGCTCGGGGACTTTAATATCAAAAAGATAAAAGTTCCCCTTGCACATACGTGCTAGCCGTTCCCGACTCTAGGGGGCGGTGCTCACCTCCGTTTCAAAGCTGAAGAGCCAGCGCTGTCCGAAGACGTCTCTGTGGTCATTTGGCCGGCATGACTCAACGCCAAAGGCGCACGGAACGCTGTTCCCTTCCCACCAAAGGTGGTCCCTATTTTTCTACTTGCATTTTTCACGTGCTTTCGAACTGCTAGGTTGGCAGAAGCTGGGACAAGTCACGGGAGCTCACCCCGTTTACGCGGCACCAGGGATTCGAACCGCTGAACTGCCGACCTTTCGATCGACAAGCTCAGCGTCTTAGCTACTGAGCTACCACGTCCCTGCACTTTAATATTAGGCCCTCCAATAAAGGTCGAAGTGCATAAAAGGATGCCCAGGGCACTTTACACAAAAGATACTCGTTTTATTGGAAAAGCAAAGTCCTCCTTCGGTGTTTCGTCTATTTGCTTTCTTATGGGCTTCCCTGCACCCATTCAGGCAGCGGCTGATGTAATAAAGATGGTCGGCCAGAGGTGGTTTAGAAAAGACAGAGGCCCTTAAACTGCGGTCCCCGTTGCCAGCAGCAACTTGCAAGCCAAACGTTGAGGTTTAAAAAAAAGCAAGATGTGCACAAGTAACAAAATCGGTGGAGCAGAACTGAAGCCCTTCCACCGTTTCTCTCATTATTTCCCATCGCCTAAAAGAATAAGGAGTCCTCTTCTTCTTCTGGGTTCTCTCGGCCGTTTCCAATATTCACTACGTTTCCTGCTAAAAGCCATAGTAATTAAACCACCGTTGAGTTAATTAAATGCTCAAGTCAAATCTCGTCTTGAGTTCAGCTGTTAAAATTCCCTGGCCCCAGGAGTGGGCTTCAAAATTTTTTGCAAGGGGTTCTCTGCCTGGTTGCTGGATGGGTGTGGCCATGGTAGGCGTGGCCTAGTTGGCCTCCTGCACCACAGTGGGGGGTGAGGGTGTTTTTGCCCTCCCCGGGCTCCGGAGGCTTTTCTGAAGCCTCTAGGAGGACGAAAAACGGCCTCCCCAGGCTCCAGAGGCCCTCTGGAGGCCAGAAATGGGCCCATTTCCAGGCCTTCCCAAACTTCTGGTACGCCCGTTTTTCGCCCTCCCCGAGCCTCCGCGCACGCCCTGCACTTATCTGCATCCAAAACGGGCCGTGCGACCTCCCCCCAATCCTCCGCCCCCCCCGGCTCCTGGCACGCAATGGCAAAAAGGTTAGCCCTCACTGCCCTAAGCCGTGGTCTGCAAGCCACAATAAAGGGCTTCACCTACAGGTTGCAACGTGTGAATGTGCTTTCCTCGATCTTCCAGGGATCCATTATTTCATGTACTCAAGGTAGGGAATCCAGCTATGATGACTTGCAAACTGTGGACACCAGAAGTGGGTTTCAGCAGGTTCTGATCAGTTCTGGAGAACCGGTAGCGGAAATTTTGAGTAGTTCAGAGAGTTGGTAGTAAAAAGTCTGACTGGCCCTGCCCCCATCTATTCTCTGCCTCCCGAGTCCCAGCTGATCGGGAGGAAATGGGGATTTTGTAGTATCCTTCCCCTGCCATGCCCACCAAGCCACGCCCACCAAGCCATACCACGCCCACCAAGCCACGCCCACAGAACCGGGAGTAAAAATTCTGACTGGCCCTGCCCCATCTATTCACTGCCTCCCGAGTCCCAGCTGATCGGGAGGAAATGGGGATTTTGCAGCAACCTTCCCCTGGAGTGGGGAGGGAATGGAGATTTTACAGTATCCTTCCCCTGCCATGCCCACCAGGCCACGCCCACAGAACCGGTAGTAAACAAATTTGAAACCCACCACTGGTGGACACCTCCCAGGCTCTCTCGAGTCCCGAATCCACTACATAGCCCAGAGGTACTAACTACCGGTAGTCCTCGACTTGCAAGAATTCATTTAGTGACCGTTCAAAGTGACAACGGCACCGAAAAAAGGGACTTAACGACCGTTTTCCCCACACTTACGACCGCTGCCGCATCTCCCCGCGGTCACGGGATTGACATTCGGATGCTTGGCAAACTGACTCGTGTTTATGACGATTGCAGCAGCCTTCGCTTAGCGACCGGGTTACTAATTTAAGGACAGCAGCGCTTCGCTTAGCAAACGTGGCGAGGGAAGTCGTAAAACGGGAGCAAAACTCCCTTTAACCGACGTCTCACTTAACAACGTATATATTTGGGGCTCCATCGTGGTCGTAAGCTGAGGAGCGCCTATAGTTTAACCGAGCGGCTTGCCAGAGGTTTTAAGAGGCATGGTTTTCGTTCCTTCCCAAGGCAAATCAGCCCGCACAAGGGCCTGCAGAGCTGCAGCTGACCCTTAATAAAAACAGGATGAGGCCTTCCCGTTGCCATGGTGATGAGGCCTGACGGAGCATCTTGCCCGGAAGATCGAAAATGGGGATTTGCAGCCCCCCACCCCCCCCGAGAGCAAAAATAAAATAAACCAGAAAAACAGCTGGCGATGGCGCACATGCCCCACCGAGAGGGCTCTCCGTGCCACCTCTGGGACGCATGCCATAGGTTCGCCATCACGGGTAGGAGCAGGGGGCTGGACTAGAAGACCTCCAGGGCCCCTTCCAGCTCTAGTCTATTCTAAATCCTCTGAACTTCAAAAGTGGCCTCCTGGAACGGCCATCTCCGGAGACCCTTGGAGAAAACGGCGAAATCTGAAGACGTTTTTGGGTCAAAGGGGAAGATCAGTTTGCCGCCAACGGGTGGTTAATTTTTAACAAGTTTATTCTTGAATTGGGGGCCGGGGGGGGGGGGGGGAAGCAGGAGTTTGGAGAGGTTTTTTTCTTTTCTTTTTTTTTAATCTTCTAAGCCATCCTGAGTCAGTTGGATGAGATGGGCTGCTATATAAATAATTTTTTTTTTTTTTAAAATTACGCTTCCCTTATTACCAAGGTCTGGGCACGGCTCCCTGGGATGACTCAAGCCAGAAGAATAAACGGCTATTAAGATTCAAATATTCACGGTTACCATCCTGAAGTTCTCTTCTAAACAACCCCCCCCCCCATGGCAATTACCTTCGCTTCCTCCTTAAAGAGCAATTAACAGTTTTTACAGAGGTTTTGAACCTTGGCTCAGCTGCTGCCTGCTGACCTTTCCAATCCTCTCCGGTGTCATTAAAAGCACCGAGGGGGAGAGAGGGGACGATGAATTAAAAAAATAGAAGACAGAACGGATGCGCAAGGAAAACGCCGAGAATTCTCTTTAAAAATCAGATTTTAATCCGCCTCCCAATTACATTGGATTTTTTTTTTAAATCAAATTTTAATCGCTGCCTCGTGATTACACCGAATTCCTGGCGAAAAAGGAAAACCTGCGAAATTGTTTCAATAGTGGCTTTTCAAGAACTGCACATCGTTGGAGGGGGGAAAGACCAGTGGTGAAATCAATTTTTTTTTTTACTACTGGTTCTGTGGGTGTGGCCTGGTAGGTGTGGCTTGGTGGGCGTGGCAGGGGAAGGATACTGCAAAATCCCCTTTCCCTCCCCACTCCAGGGGAAGGATACTGCAAAATCCCCATTCCCTCCATCTCCGTTCCCTCCCCACTCCAGGGGT